GTGATCTGAGAGACAGGAAGAACACAAAGGAGGTTAGGAAATGGGTCTACTGCCTTCCAGGGACTGAAGCAGAAGTTTCAAGAAGAGAGTGGTTAGGGAAAGAGTTGCAGCAGGTGGCAGCCCACCTTCGCTGAATCCTCCCCATGTGCTCCTGGAGCTAAATCTCTTGCTGAACCATCTCAGGCAATGGATCTTAACTGCTGGGCAGAGTTGTGGCTGGTGATGACGGCCAGGGATGCCTGCGCTCCAGGGGAAAGGCTAGGATGAGGGCCTGGGGCTTCTGCTCAGCTCCCTGCTGCAGCTCTGTCCACCTTGCAGGACTCTTTTCTCCATTCCTTACACAGGAATGTGAACTTTTGTTTCACATTACTATCATTACAAACATCCACAAATGTATTTCAAGGCCATTAAAAAATCATTACAGTCATCCTCCTGTATCTGCAGTTTTGCTCTCAATGGTTTCAATTATCCATGGTCTGAAAATGTTAAATGAAAATTCCAGAATTAAGCAATTCCTAATTTTTAAACTGTGCACTGTTCCAAGCAGGATGATGAAATCTCTGACCATTCCACTCCATCCTGCCCCCTTACAAAGGCCCCTGTGTCACCTGAAGCTTAAATAAATCTGCAGGACCAAGCAGAGAAAAAACCCATTCCATCACTTCAATTTGTGCTTCATCATTAACTCCTATTTACTTTTTTGCCAGAGAGAACCAGGTTATCCTTTCCATAGCACTCTAGAATATATTCAGAGGCATTCTTTTCATGTATTCTTTTCCAAGATTAGAATGACAGATAACATGGGACCATGGTCTCCTCCAACCCCAGGGTTACAATCAGGGTTAAGTAAGTGACCTGTGTAAAGCACCGGGCACCATGGATATGGACCTAATGAGAGCCTCCCACCACTAAATGGCGCTACCTGCCCTAAGTCCCCTCCTCACTCCGCTGTCCTCCCTCTCAGCATCTGAGCTCCAATCGCCCTGCCTGACGGGATGTTCTGTTTCCTTCTGACCTCAGTGGCTCAGTGGACCATTACTAGTGTAGAGGAGGAAACCGTTTTCCTTACCCACCACTGGCTGCAAGGCTGGGGCCCCTATAACACAAGACAGATTGACAAGAGATGCACACACATTTTTAATACATTTTATGTGACACAGGAAACTTCATAAATGGGCACCCAAAGAACCAGATATTTTTATGCTAAATTTTCTGAAGAAGAGGATAGTTGTAGGGAGGTATGTATGACTGCAGATGAGGGAGGGCGAGCTAATGTAATAAATGAGGGCGCTTAGCAAGATTTTCTTGCTCAGATTCTTCTCTGTATCCCTGTGACTTCAGAGATGAGGATGTTCTTTCCTCTGAGTACAGAGGGATTATCTCTGGAATGAATGTCTTGTGATCTGCTTCAGAGGAAGGTCAGAGACTTATGGTCTGCATTGGTGGAGACACACAGATGTTCTTCTCTCTAGGGTCAGGGTGCCATGTGTTGGTGAAGTGCATCTTGAATGCCGTCACTAGTCCGGAGTCTCTCTGCTCACCCCAGCTCTAAACTAGTCCTGAAGTGTAGATGGTTCATGGTGGCCTTAATGGTTTGACGTGTCATGTCCAAAGTTACGTAGTCACATGGAGCAGGTAGTAGAACTCGGGACTCCTCATTTCTGAAGCCAGGCTGGGTAACTGCATTTCCTCTTTCCATTCTCTCTGGGACCTCAGGATGCCAAACTTCAATCCCTGTACTTTGTGTGAGCTGCAGTGCCAAATACCTTGACTCCAGGTACAACTTTGAACATGCTTTGAGTCTGAGTTTCAGCTCAGAGACTTCTGGGCCTGAAAGTCACCTACATTTGGGGGGCTTTGGTTTTTGTGTTTTGCTTCTTCTTTTCCTTAAACCAGTGGAATGCTATGAAAAGGACAGCATGTCAGCAGTATCCCGGACCTCATAGCTTTACATTTATTTTGCTCTTAAGTATGCTTTGAGGAATTGGAGAAAATGCCAATTCTTGCACTGCAATGCAACATATGTGATAGATGCTTCTTCTGAGATCCCATATGTTTCATATTGCCATGGGAAAAAAAGCACTGGCATGGAAAGATTTTTTTTTCCTATAAATTTCCCTACAGACTGAATTGGATTTCTGTTGGTTGCTTTTACAGCAACACTGTGTCATCAAGGAAGGAGGGAAAGAAGAGTGGGTGAGGAAGAGAGAGAAAGAGAGGTTGGGTATTAACAAATCGAGTGGTTCTTAATGCACAGCTGGTACTAGACAGCAGTGTGTTGGGGACACAGCACCAGAGTCTCCTGGTCCTGGCTCAGCTAACATATGAATGACTAGCCTTGGAATAATGGAAAAGCAGGGAGCTTAGCAGCAGGCAGCCACAATGCCTGACACGGTCACTCCTCAACTCTGAATCTGAGCAAGTACATCCAGTAGGTTTTGCTTATATGATTTAGTGATTCAAACATATTTTCTTCTTTTTCACATTGTGGTCTGGCTGGTCCTAGTAGGACTCTGTAGTGCAAGGTGGCCTCACTTACATAGTGGTTGGAATGATGTCATGGTGATGATCTAGCCACATGGCTCTTGTCACCCAAAAGCTAGCTCCAGCTGGTTCCTATGATGGTGATCATGGGACTGCCAAGAAGTCTTTCCATGCCTCTGCTTGTGTCATATTGTTAATGTCCCCTGTGGCCAAAGCAAGTCCTACATCTAAGATCACATTCAAGTGGTGGAGAAATATATTGGTGATCTTGCTGGGAGGGGTTTGCAAAGTTATACTTCAAAGGGACAGGATACAATGTACTACAGAGGGTAAACTATGCTCTCTGGCCTAAATGCCCTAAAATGAGTGAGCACAATCCACCCATTAGTTCACATTGATCATGTCAAATACGAATTATTGATTGGTATGCCACCCCAGCCCACCTGCTCTTCCTTACTCTTTTCTGTCTCACTAGGTGGCACCTTGTTCACCTTCTAGCTGAAAGTAGAACCCTTGATAAGACTCCCGAGTCCTCCTTTCACCTGTCCCTGGAGTCCCTCATACCTGAACTATCAGCAAGAGGGATCAATAGATGTGAGCTCTGAAGGACATATTGCACCTATCTGCTCCTTTCCTTGCTTCTGCCTTTTTCCCTGAGCAAGTCTGACCTTCCCTCTTCCTGGAAGTTTCCCCTGAAGATATTCACATGGAATCCTCCTGGTCTTGCCTCAAATCCACCTTGATTATCACATAGTAATTGTTAACTCCTCCAACACCTGACGCAGCATACCCTATCTCCTAATTTTAGTTTTGCTCCTTTGTACTTATCACCAAGTCATTTTTAAAAAGTTTTTGTCTACTCTACCAAAATTCAGTGCTATAAAGGCAGGGGCATATTTGTTTTTGTGGCTCACTGTTGAATCACCAGTTTCTGTAGCAGTACCTACCACATAATTAGCAATGTTGATTTATTGAGTGAATACACAAGGAAGATTTTTAAGGAGTATATTTATCTCAGTTTGAACAGTGGTTTGTTTCCTGCTCAAAGACCCAGAGGCATGTAATTCAGTCATAAAGAGTCAGAAAAGCTCATCAGAGAGATGAATTGGAAGACCTAAAAGGTCAGTAGTAACACAGAATAAAGGAAGATGGCAGAGACAGAAGATAGAGCAGTAAACCAAGTGGGCAAATAGGTGGCTTACTGGATATAGACAGACCAATTTGTACTAAGTTTTTGTAATCATAAAGTAGGTTGCACTCATTTTTAATATGGTGATTACTATTGGAGTCTTCAGGGAGATAGGGGTCTCCAAGTGTTCCTAACACATAGCAAAGAGTCATTGGGAGATGCAGGGTTCCACGGTGTGGAGGGCTGACAACATCCGCATGTATTTGTTGTTGTCTCCATATTCTGACTCACGGAGGGTTTTGTGGGCCCAACTGTATTATGACTATTTTAACCAGTGTTCATTACAGTACTTTCACGAATGGACAAAGCTCTTGGAAAGAATCCTGCAAAGAAATCAACTTGCACTAATGATAATGCTATTAAAGCAAGCACAAAAGAAAACTAAGAAGACAGAGCTGGTATTTCATTTCCTCCTAAAAACAATGACAATCTAATCAGAGCAGATAAGATGGAGGAGGAGGTGGAGACAAAAGTATAATTGTCAAGGCAATTGGAAAAATAAATCTTCATCAATTATTGTTAACCATCCTCAACAGATTATGCTTAAGCTATTAGCAAACTTGTGGTATGAAACATTGTGTTGAATATAAAACATTGTTCAATGAAAATTTTATCTTATTTTAACTTCTTTTTTTATGGAGGTATCATTTATGGAAAATAAATTGCACCAATTGTGTTTGGCTTAATTAGTTTTGAACAACTGTACATAATTCTGTAATAACCACTCCATATAGAGATATTTTCATCAACTCCCTAACAACTTCTCTTACCTTAAATCAACTATTTTCTGACTTCTATCATCATAGATTACTCTCTTTTCTAGTACTTTATATAAATGTGATTATGTCCTGTATATCTCTCTCTCTCTCTACTCACACACACACATATGACTTTTTTCTTCAACATGTCTATAAATTTCATTTGTGTTTTTCTGGTAGTGTTTTGTCTTTTTAATGCTAAATAAAGTTTCAGTGTATAATTAGCATTCATCTGTTTATTAATAGACATTTTGGTTGTTTCAAGCTTTTACTGATTATGAATAAACTGCTATGAACATTTTTGTACACTTTTTAGTAGACATTTGATTTTATTTCTCTTATATAAACACTCAAGAGTAGACTGGCTGGGTCCATAGGTGACTTTTTAACTTGATAGGCGGTTTTAGCATTCTAGATTGACCCTAGGGACCCTAGGCCCCTGTCTTACAGACTTCCCGTTCCCACTTGGCGATATTATGAAGTAGTGGAACCTTTAAGGGGTGGGACCAAGTTGGGGCCGGGCCCTCGCAGGGGCTTGTGGGAGAACGGCCCCTCTTCTCATGGGTTGCTCTGCAGTCAGCTCCTGCCCTGCTGTGCTGCCGGTCGCCCCAAGGCTGAAAGACAGAGGACCCATTGTTTATGGACTGGAACTCCAAAACTGTGAGTCAAAACAAACATTTTCTCTTGGTAAATTGGTTATCTCAGACATGTTTAATCTTATAAAGAGCTGTCTGACACAGTTGCTGTTCATTCTTAACTTTCATCTTCATTCTCTCACATTATCAGTTTATTTATTTATTTTTGGTAGCAGGACCGAACTTAGGACTTTGCGCTTGCCGGGCAGGCACGTCGCCACTGAGCTATATCCTCGGCCCAGTATATTTAATTTTAATCACTACTTAAAAAAAATTTTTTTTAAATTTTATTAAAAATAAAAAAAATTGGGCCAGGGATTTAGCTCAGTGGTTCCACTGCCTGCCTTGCAAGAGGAAGGTCGCTAGTTTGATCCCCTGTACCAAAAAATAAAATAAAAGAGAAAAGAAAAGAAAACATTTTAAATTATTGATATGTGTATTATTAATAAAATTATTAATATTACATTCATTAATCATGGGGAATTAGTATATAAACATCATATCACGATCTTTTTTACTTTTCCTTCCCTCCCCTTTCTCTAGTCTCCCTCCATCCTCAGATCCTCTTTCTATCTCCACAAAGTCTGGCTCCTGTTTCCTATCATCTGTCTTTTGTTTTGCTACTTACATTATTTATACTTACTGAGTTTATATATGTCGAATAAGACTCCTAATTTATCAAATATATATAAATATACACATATATCTATGTAAATATTCTCACCATCTGTGCCTTAAGTGTTTTCTTAACAATATCTCAGTATTTCCTGATGAATAGATTTTTATTTTGATGAAATATGACAGTTCATGATTTGTTTCTTTTCATGATATTTTATTTATTTATTTATTTATTTATTTATTAATTTATTTATTTATACTTTGAGATGATTTCTTGCTATGTAGTACAGGCTAGCCTTGAACTCACTATGTAGCCGGGGGCTGGCCTCAAACTCAGAGCAATACTCCTGCCTCAGTCTCTTGAGTGCTAGAACTACAGGCATGGGCCACCATCTCCGGCTAAACTCTTTGCTTATTACAAAACTGCAAAGATTTTTCTGCCTTGTTTTCTATTAGTAATCTTGCTGTTATGGCTATTGTATTTAGATAGATGATTAGGTTGAAGTATGTCAATTTCTTACATTTAAACTTTTAATCTTGAGATAATTGTAGGTTGACATAGAGTTGTAAGAAATAACACAGAGAGATCATGTGTGCGCTTTACCTACTTTTCTGCAGTGGTAGCATTTTGTAAATCTGTAACACAGTGTTACATCCAAGACTTTGACATTGATACAGTCAAGTTGTAAATTCTTATCACCATATTTTGCTTTTATAATCATATCCACTTCCTTTTCACCCCACCTTCTCTTTAATTTCTGATACCCAGTTATCTGTTCTGTTTCTATGATTTAGTCATTGCAAGGATATTGCACAAATGAAATTTGTGCACCTCTTTATTGCTGAACAGTCTTTCATAATATGAATGTAACATTCAGTGTTTAACCATCATCAGGTGAAGGTATCTGGGTTGCCGTGTTTTACAAATAAAGCTGCTGTAAACATTCATATCCGAGTTTTTCTGTGACCATAAGCCTTCATTTCTTGTTGATAGCTGCCCAGGAGTGCAAGTACTCAATTGTGTGCTAGTAACTTGTATAGTTTTTAAAAGACGTTTTTGTGATTATATAATTTTATACTCCCACCAGAAATATATCAATGATTCTGTTTCTCTGCATTCTTGCCTGCATTTGATGTTGCCACTATTTTTTATTTTAACTTGAGACATCTCCCTGTAATTTTAATTTACACTGCCCTGATGGGCAACAATTTTGAGCATCCTTTTATGTGCTTATTTCTTTTAATTTTTTTCTGTTCTTCCCTTCCTCCCTCCCTGGCTGCCTGTCTCCCCGCTCCCTCTTTCCTTCCTTTCTTCCGAGGAGGGGGTTTCTCCATGGTCTAGGCTGGTCTCTAATTTGTGATCTTACCTCAGCCTCCCAAGTAGCTGTGATTACAGGAGTGCCACCATGCATAGCTCATGTGCCTATTTGCTATCTATGTATATTTTTCAATCAAATGTCTTTTGATTTATTTTGTATATGTTCTGTTTAGATTGTATGCTTCTCTATTGTTGAGTTTTGAGAGTTGTTTTTTTAAAAAAATATATTGTAGATGCTGCTCTTTTGTCAGATACATGATTTGTAAATATACTTTTGTATTTCTTTTTCTGGTCTTTTTATCCATTAAACAAGGGTTTGAGCAGAGAAAAAGGGTGTAACTTTGCTGAATTCAAATTAATCAAATTTTCCTTTTAAGGATTGTGCTTTTAGTGTCAAGTCCAATAACTATTTTCCTAACTTTAGATCCCAAATATTTTCTCTTATATTTTTTCTGGGTTGTATAGTATCTCAGTTCATTCTAGAATCAATTTTGAGTTGACTATTGACAGAATCATGTGATTTTTCTTTTAAAGCCTGTTTGTTTGGTACATTCTGATAACTAATTTTCAAATATAGAGACCCCTTTATATAATTAGAATAAATTCTACTCTGTTATTGTGTATAATCCTTTTTATATATGGCTGAATTCAAATTGCTACTATTTTCCCAAGAATTTTTGTGATTATTTCCATGAGGAATATTGGCCTCTATTTTTTTCTCCAGCACTGAGGATTGAGCCTTCTAAGGCCTTGCACAGAGCTACATCCCAAGCCCTCTAAAGTTTTTGTTTTGTTTTGAGATAAGGTCTCCTGCTAATTTACTGACTTGCCTCAGATTAGGCTTGAAATTGTGATCTTCCTGCCTCATTCTCAAAGGATGCGGAGATTGCAGGCAGGTACCATTGTACCCAATTTGTAATTTTATTTTTCTTTACTGTCTTTGGTTCCCTATTGCTAGCTTTATAAAATAAACTAAGCATTATTTTTCTTTCTATGTCTGAAGTAGGCGTTCATTCTTCTTTAAATATTTTAGGAATTCCACAGTGAAGCCATCTGGGTTTGAAGATTTTCTCCTGGTGTTTTTTAAATTACACACTCAATTTCCTTAATAATTTAATTTATCTATTTTATACCAGGTTAATTGTGGTAATTTGTATTGTTCAAGGAATTGGCCCATTTTATCTAGCATGTCACATATACATGACTATAATAGTTTATAATGTTCCCCTATTATATTGTTGACGTCTACAAAAATCTGTAATATCTCTTGTTACATTCTTGATGTTGGTAATTTGTGTCTTCTTTTCTGTGTCAATGTTGTTAGCTTTATGGAAGTTGTTTCTGAAGAACCAATTCTTTGTTTCATTGACTTCCTTAATTGTTTATGTCTTAAATTTTGATGGTTTCTGCTCTTGTCTTTATTATTTCCTTCCTTCTGCCTACTAAGTTGATTTTCTCCTTCTTTTCCTAGTTTCTTAAAATGGGAGATTAGGTTATTGATTTTAAACTCCTTGCCTTTTCTAATAGCTATACTTAATGCTATAAATTTCCACCTTTGCATTGCTTTAGTTTCCCCCAATTTTGATATGCTGTATTCTCATTTTCACTCAATTGTATATTTTAAATTTTTTCATTGAGACTTCCTCTTTGATTTATGGTTTATTTAGACATATGTTGTTTAGTTTTCAAGAATTTGGAATTTTTCCTGTTGATTTCTAGTTCAATTACATTGTTTCTGGAAGATGCATTCTATGTAATTTTGATTCCTTTAAGTTGTGGTTTTAATGACTCAAGGTATATTCTAACTTACATGTTTCTCTAGATGCTTTTCAAGAATGAGCATTCTATAACTGTTGGTGGAATGGCCTAAAAATGTTGATTAAATATTATTTTCAATAGTGTTGTGGAGTCCTTCTATATCTTTACTGATTTTCTTTCTTATTGTTCTATCACTTATTGAGAGAGAGGTATTATAGTCTCTAACAATAATAGTGGATTTATCTATTTCAAAACCAATTTCTTTTCAGTTTTTATATTAGCTGCTCATATAGTATATCTATTTCATTTTCTATTTTTGTAGTACATGTTTTTAATCATACAACAATTTAATATGCCCCTTGGAAATATGTTGACCAGAATATTCTGTGGTAAAGATATATAATCGAGAGTTTGGATAAACATCCTGAAGATAGAAATAGTAGTAAAGACTCTGTACTAAAGAGCCTTGTAAGACATGTTAGAGTTTGTATTTCATCTTGATGGCAGCTGCAGGAGCATTAGAAGACTTTAAACAGGGTGCTAACGTGATTAATAGGCTATTCACTTAATTACTCTGGCTGCAGAATAGAAGACAAGCGGAGCATTGGAAGCTGGTGTCCATCAACTTTTCCTCGCAAGTTTATTTTGCTAGAAGTTATAAAGGTCTTTATATCTGACATCTGAAAGTTGTGGATTTCATAGCAAAACATTTAATTGCTAACTCATTTTCACCATCTTCTTTCTTACCACTATTCCTGTTCTATTTTGGGAGTCTTTAATCTCCCCTTGGGTCATGTTTCTGTTGATCTTTTAGTTGCTCATCCTTCTAACTCTATTACTTTTTTTTGCACCCCTCATACATTCCCACCATTATAGAAATGTCCGATATTTTGTCACAGTTAGTTAAGCATCTGACTCTAACCATCTGCTGTCCTTCCAACTTAAATTCCATCCTTTCAGTGTAACAATTGTTTGATATCGTCAAGACCCCAAGTCTATTGGCCCAACAATTCTGTCACTATCAATGAACTTTTCCTCCTGCTTCTTTTCCTCCTTCTTCATGTGATACTGCATGCCTTTAACCAATTATGACAGCTTGTATATTACCTCTGCCTGTGATTGGTTCATAGATAGGCATGGGATCCAGATCTGGCCCTTGAGACATGATGTCTGCATGGTATTTCTTTGCATATGAGAAAAAGATGTTGGGAAGAACAGTGTTTTATATTTGGCCCTGACAATGCTAAATATGAATATAGTGCCCAGATTTGTAGCAGTCACCTTGAGGCCATAGTGGGAACCCTGTTGTAAAAAATGTGATATATTAAAGA